GTAGAGGAGGAGAGGGTGTTGATTGTAAAAAAGAAATTATTTGTCTTACATAAATTTATCCTTCCTTGCAAAAACATTAATACTACAGAAAATTTTCCCATAAACTGCTACCAGCAAATATTTCCTAATTATAGCACTTCTTCTTCTTTTTATAGATTGTCCAAATGTTAAATGATGTCAACTGAACGTTTTGATGTAACACGTGCAGCTTTAGAACATCTTGAATTATTAAACAATGACATCAATCCATTAACGGTTACCGCACAGTTTCGCTCAATTTTAAGACATCATAAACAAGAGAATACATCACCAACAGAAAATTATAATTACATCGATTATGTCGTTTCTGAAGAGCAACATCGACGACGAGCAAGATCTAGAGGTGGAGCTGACAGAAGATCGAAATCGTGTGGTAAGCTATCTGTTTTATTGAATGATCGTTTATTTCATTTAAATTATCTAACCCATAGTTACTGTTAATATTTTTGTGCCATCTCGCCGCGCACATACTTCTGTTGTGAAACTTTTTGTACCCAAGATCTCGAAGAAGAAATTTCAATATCTTTTGAGTAAATAGAGTCAAAATGTTTCAAAATATTATGATGAAAATTTTTTACATTCTCTCTCTTAGACGACGCCACAGACAATCATATATGATCATAGGCTCATTGTTGAACAGCTTTGCTCAAGAAAGGAAAATTTTCGCTGTTATATGTAAGCAAGAGTGAAATACAACGATGATTCAAGAACTATCAAGATCTTGGTACAAGCACTCAAGAAAGGACAAGAAACCGTCTCTGTAAGAAAATGGCCCAATATGATTTTGGACGCAATCGTCTAGAATTATCAAAAACGCTTCGTGCTTCACTTTACAACCTGTTTGAACTTCCAAAACTTCTTCTGGACAGCTGCAGAGGAAAATCTCCTAAAATTATTCAAACACCTGATCTTCATAGAGAAAATCGACTTTTTACTGGATCGTGTTATCTCCAGCTGATTTTTAAAAACTATTGTAATCTCTTTGATAAAAATCCATTTTTAAAATCCTGAATAAGTGTCATACGTAAAATCTGCGCTCATTCAGAATATGTCAAATTATGTCTGCGATTAATTTGGGAGCGATTGAAAAAGTCGTGCCTCGAATTTGAGTTCTTTTTCACGTTTTCCGTATTTTTTTAAAGATAGATTTTCTCTATGAAGACGAAACTTCAGAGACTTTATAAAAGATATTCATGATCACCGTAAGAAATTGCATCTACTCCATGTATCTTTAAAAACATTTGAGGAAAAAGTTTTTCAGAAATCCTTTGGAGAGGAGGGTAATGGAAAACCCTCTAGAAAATGTTTAGAAAGTTAGTTGCAAAAAATGATATCATTGCCATCCTGATAAAAGATAAAAGTCATTTGTAAAGAGTAAAGAATTTCGGACTCATACACCCACGTCCTCGCAAATATGAAAACCAATATCTCAGTTTAACATTTCGGGAATAGCTTTTCGTTGACATATTTTTGAAGAACTTGTTTATAGCTCATTTTGTGGTGCAGACAATTCTCTGTCTTCCTATTTTTAAGTTCTTGTTAAAAAGTTTGGAATTACGCGAAAAGTTTGGAATACAGGATGGATGTCGTTGATTGGAACAGTAATGAACAATTGTAAGAGATTTCTTTCTGAAGTTTTCCAGAAGAAGTTTTGGAAGTTTAAACAGCTTGTAAAGTGAAGGGCGAAGCATTTTTGATAATATTAGACGATTTGCGTTCAAATCATATTGGGCCATTTTCTTATAGAGACCGTTTTTCGTCTTTTCAAAACTTTCAGAAACTTGGGTTCTTGGAACTTTTTACGTTTTCCTACCAAGAACTTGAGTCAAGATCTCAGTAAAAAAATTCTAGAAATCAAGCTCTTGGTTACAAGAAGTTTCAGGGTTAATTCATTAAATCAGTGGGAAGAAATTGTGCTATAAAACTCCTGCCTTCGTTGATAAATATTTTCTCTAATCTCCGCTTATATCTCTAACTTAAATTGCTTCTAACTATTATATAGGACGAATTAAATATGACACAGACGATTATGAAAATGAGTATTATGATCAAGAACAGGATCAAAGTTTAGAATCACAAATAAAAAATGGAAATGATGATACGTCGTTATATATCAAACGTAATAGTAACAAAAATAGTGACATTAACACAAGCGTGGGAGGTTTAATTGCTGAATCACAATCTTGTTTTGGTTTGTCAAAGTGGCCAGATGAAGGTTTGTTTTTGCTTGTTCTTTTGGGTTTTAAATAACATTTATTGTTTATTTTAGCTGGTAGCAGTTCAACCGAAGATATTTATCAAGATTCAGCGGTTGGCTCGGATTACAGTGAACCTGTGGCTATTACAGCCGTTAGTAAAGCAACATCATGCGATTCAGCTATATCTACCACAAGCAATAACAAATATTTTGATCAAACATCACCAACATCATTAATTAACTCTAATACCGGTGTACATGACTTTTATGATAAAAGGTTATTATCACAAATCGATGAAGCATCTGAATATAATAATTCAACTACAAATTCGAGTATAAAACGGTATTTAAATACTAATGGTTATCCGACAATAAATTGGAAACAATTGCGTGAAAAACAACATCATGACAGTATTAATAAAGCGAAAACAATAATATCACAAAATTCAACACTAGCAGCAACATTGCCGAGGAAATTAGCGATGACGAGTGATTTTGATCGATATGATCCGCAACGTAGCAGTATCAAGAAACAACCAATATCGCTACTGTCTTATCATAAAAATCAACAACAATTTCAAAAACGTATTGAACAATTTACGGGAACAAGAACAAGCAGACGCGATGAACATCAGCAACAACTATTAACATCAAAACAACAACGTCCAGTGCGGCCTCGTGCATTTACGGCCGATATTGGCTCATTGATTCAACAACCACCAGTGCAATCGCCAATGCAAACGAGTCAAATAACAAATTCTACAATGGATACCAGTTCATTGACAACAGTATCAACTATGGATGATGATAACATAATACGTTCAACAACGTCAACAGAAGAATCATTCGTCTATCCGAATGTATCGGAATTACGTAAAACATTTGAAAAAGTTTCCTCTCCAACGACGGGAAATCGTGCTCATACGCCAAATACCTCAGCAACATTAATGGATAATTCCATTACATCACCACCTCCTTCTATTATCTCAACAACAGGTTCTCGTTCTACCTCACCATCACCATCAAATTCTCCATGTCGTACAACCACATCTTCGTCTTCATCCTCGAATGGAAGTTCAGATGTTCGAACACCATCGATTTCACCCACAACGTCTCGACGTTCAAGTCCCTCTTCACGTTATACTATAACACGTTATAATTCATCTTCTATTAATAATGACAACGATGTTATCATTCCTATTGCTGATTGCGGCATCTTATTAAAATACGATAAACGTCAAACTCATACGAAAAATAAGAAGACGCATAATAAATCAGCAGAAATACCTTTGAACAATCATATGTCTAACAGTTGTTATTCAATTAGTGGTTATGGAGAAGATTCTGAACAAGCATGTTGTAATGAGAATGATTTATTAAACGATTCACATATTCAATTACAAAGTGACGATGAAGAAATTGAATATTCAAAACATGATGATGTAAGACCGATTTATGTGTGATGTTTACCGGTCTTTTTTTGTCCTTTATACGAGTGTTTAATCGTTATATTTTATTAACAGTGATAACTACTATTATTCTATATATCTCTTTTAATATCATTGAAGAACCATTTTCTTTTCTATTTTTTAGTGTGCAAGTTCGCTTTAAAAAATTTAAGTGAAAATATCTTCTTTCGCTGTTTTTTTCTTATTCTGTTCTATTATTAATGGAGCTCAATTTTTAATTTTATTCTTTTCCCTTGTGTATGAGTATATCTTTAGATTGTAACAATGTTTTTTTTTCGTTAAAAACAAAAAGTGCTAAATTATATATATAAATATTTGTACATTTTTGAGAAAGCTAAAAAATACTATTTTTCATATAACATGAATAAAATATGCAAAGAAGAAATATGGCACACAATGTTTGATTTAAGCTCTAACATAATTTTGGGACATTTTGTATTTTTAATTTTTTGCTTACCGCGATAGCTAGAGAAAAAGTGATATAAATGGCTAAAAGAGTTTTCCAACAAAGCCTATGTGTAGAAATTCCATCAAAACTGTTGAAAATCCTGTCTCTAAAAAACCTAAACTCTAGAAAATCAAGTCCTTGTATCTGATCGAAAAGTTTGTTACAAATCTACTTAACGTACAGAGAAAACATTTCAAGACATCTCTGAGCTCTTTACATCTAATTTGAAAAACATTTTTAAGCTGTGTCATCTTTGTATAGCCATAACCTTTTGTGATATCCTCTTCACTTCTGTTCAAAGTATTACTTCTCTAAAAGAAGATAAATCGACAGTCAAAATTGTCAGATTTATGAGATAGAGAATTCTAAGCGATTTCTAAATAATATCGATATCTTATAAAACCTTTTAGAGATCGACGTTGATGATAAACACATTTTTTTCCAATTTGTTTTTTAGCCATTATGATGAACATACAAAAGTTGCGTAAGTGTTATTAGAATACGCTATTCTTTAATAACACACTTTATCAAGTAATTTATTTATTTGGTTTATACTGTGTGGGTTATTTATGTGATATCTAATTTCATGCATTAATATGATCGACGTAATCATTGTAGTATAGAAGATTGAACATTAATGATAGACAGTAGGTTTTTTTTCGTGTTTGGTTCTTATTTAACTAATTTTTATGTCAAATATTTGTTACCGATTAGTGATACTGATAGTAGTTTCTCGATTTATCTGTCCTTTATATGTTGTTGTATACAAGGTAAAAAAAGAAATGAACATTTTTCAGTTTTATGTCTATTGAATAAATTATTCTCTCATGAAAAAAAGTCATTGTTAAGCATGTTCTTACATTGGGAAGAAGAAGCGACTAGCAAACATTTTATATCAAATATTTACTGACATATTTATAATAGATTATTATAAGTTCGTAAAAGTATATTAAAACTTATTCATAATAAAGTCACCAGAAAATGTTGCATAACTTTTTGTTTTAGCTGACGGTATATAATTTGTCTTTTGGTATATATACATAACTAAATTATCTAAGTGTATAGGTGAAATAAGTATGGATAACTATGACATAAGTCTTCTCTCATCCCGCCTATTATTATTATCATGCTGTCAAAATTTACTTTTGCATAATCTAACCAATTTAATTTGATTGATACTTGAAAAATTTGAACAATAACTATGTTTTGTACTAATTAAAAAAATAAGGTATACACACTGTTTCTTTCTTTGTCTCATTATATCACAGAGTTTGATGATGAAGCTATCTTTTTCCTCGGGAAATATATTCTAGATAGACAAACACGCTGTTACTCTTTGTCATGTATGTGAAAACAATATATATTCCGCTTCAAGATAAATACAATTAATTTGACATGATTATTGAACACAATGGAAATTATATGAGATTATTTATATATTCAACAATATATTCTTCGTTGAAAACTTTTATGAATTGAAAACCCTAACCACCTCCAGTATTAAACCGATTATCATTTTTTTACTTGATGCTAGTTGAATGGAATTTGTTGTCGTCGACCTCTGATATGGAAAGCATATAAAAAATAGTAAATTCTCTGTGATCTTTCTCATCAATAATCTATTCATTAGAAACAGACGAATAAATAGCTTAGCTTTTTGTTGTTTGTTCTATACGACAGAATTGTGTGCAAAAAGTTCCCGATTGAACCAAGAGGTTTGGATCCTTAGAGTTCTGATTTTATAGAGATCCCATATCAGCAAGCTTTAATGAAACTTGCATATCGTTCCTGATCACAAATCCTTTCAGCTATTGAAATCACTTATCGAATTCGTTCTGGTTATTAGGATCAAACAAAAAGTGCTGAGAGCAAATTGCTTCTATAATTCTGCACAAGGCTATATATCACGGTTGCCAGTCAGTTACAAATTGTATAAAAAATTATATATTTCACCACTGTAAAAAATAATTACGGTAAAAAGTAGAAAAAAGCAGAAAAATACAGTATCCACAACGCATCGTGATGTTTATTCTGGGATATTCTAGCAGATTGTGAGCAAAATTTTAGTAGAAGTCTAATTGTGTCTCACAATCGTGCAAGATGTTGTGACAGTTTTATAATTTTTCTCGAAATTGTGTCATATTGTGAGATATAATGGGAATTCTGCTAAAAGTTTGCTCACAATATGGTAGAATATCCTAGAATAACCATCACGATGCGGAATATTGTGGATTCTGCATTTTTCTGCTTTTTGCCACTTTTACCGTAATTATTTTTTACAATGCACACATCAACGCGTACATTTTAAAAATATTCTGCTTTTTGCCACTTTTACCGTAATTATTTTTTACAGTGCACACATCAACGCGTACATTCTAAAAATAAGACACATTAATGCGACTTAATTTGATCCTAAGTCGCATTTTTTTTTAGAATGTAGCCTAAAGTATTTACTTTCAGAAACTGTATCATCTTCTGATGTACAAACATTCTTGGAGGGTTTTTAAAAAGCTCGTCAGCATAATATTGAGGCAAAGATGTAAATAATGAAAAATTAATATTCTTTAGTTCTTTTTTTTTTACACATAGTCTCAGTGGACAAATAATCAAGATTCCAAACCATGTCGCCAGAAGAGAAATAATACACGTCAGAACAGAAACAATAGAAATTCGAAATAGATGAGATACCTCTAAATGCGACAGTTATAATCGCTCAAAACTCTAGAATACCAGTATTATAAACCCCTTTCGAAGTTGTAAACGTCCAAAACACTACAGTATGGATGTTGTAAACAATCAATTTCCAGTTTTTAAATGTCCATTTTCGAATTGTAAAATGGGCGGGGGGGAGGGGAGGGACGAAGGGAAGAGTCGATTTCTTCCTATTTTCAAAGGATTTGTGGCTTTAAACCTCAGACTTCTATTTCCTTCGGAAATTGGAGAAGTTAAAAGGTTTCCAGAAGTCGCAGACCATCCGGAGCACTAACTAAATTCTTAAAAAATATTGTTGAAAAATAGTTAATTTCGAAAATGAGTTTAATGTTATTCTCAATACTAGCGTTGGACGAATGAAAACACGTCTGATCTTTCGCTTGTTTGGCGCCAATCATCAAGTTCATATTATCTCACACATATTTTCATCAAACAATGTCTACTTTATCATTACCAAACATGATTATAAAAAGTTTCAATAAATTATTAAAAGTTGGTTAAAAAATTGTCATCTTTGATAGTGGTTGAATCAACGAGGTGGGCTCGAAACGGAAGGCCAAAATATAGAATACGATGTCTGATACCATCAAGAATCACATCTTCATGAATAATTGGGAGAAGACTGAGTGTGGTGATAACTGTCCGCAAAAGTGTTTTATAATTTTAAATAATGGTACATTGCTTTGTATGAGAAAAATCGCAGATAAAGTTCGTGTGTTACTACCAAAATAGCAAACAATCAAACAAAAATAACTGTTTTCCTTCTATTCATATTATTGCAGGACGTTCTACAGCTGTTAAACACGAGCCACAGTAAAAAATATTGTGAAACTTTTTGACTTATTCAAATTAATTTCAAATTTTGTTAGTAAACAAAAAGCAAATAAAATAGAAACTGAAACAATTTATCAGTTTTACACGTCTACTCCTTTGAACATCAGTGTCCATGCGTCGACAATCAGTACAACATTTGAGCGCCAATAAAAACGTAAATTATCAGTCTACCGTTTGTTTTCCATTAATTAAACTAATGAACCTAACTTGACATGCTTAATAAAATGATTTTATTTCTATGATATAAACATATTGTTTGCTTTTTAAACTAATTTTCTGCTAAACTAACAATCCACAAAATGCGTCGTTCACCATCAAGAGGTCAACGGAGCCGAAATGATCAAAATTTGTACAATTTATCAAATTTATTGAAACGAATGCGTTCCCAACAAGTGTCGCGAGGCAGATGTTCTAACGATAAACGATACTCATCATTTGGAAATTCATCTATATCACCGACTGTCAGTCGTCCAATAATACCATCATTACCAACGACGATAAAGCATCCTGCTGTTGTACAACGATTTCATATGAATTATCTGCCGATGATGCAGTTACATCCAAAGGATGTTTTACCCTCGCGTCAACCGACTTTTAATCCTACATTCCAATCTAATCTTTTGTTTCCACTCGGTGATCTAAGAAACTATCGTCAGTCTCGCCACTCAGTCCAAGAAGATTTCGAAAGAAGAAGACATGGAAGTGGTAATTTTATTTTACAAAGGTAGGTAAAAAAGTATTCAACATGATTCAATCGTTTTCATTTCATTTTTAGACAACGTCCAGAAAAACAAAATTTTAATAATACAGCTTATTGTTTTGCCTATTTTACAATAATTATTGTCGGTACGAAAAGTACGTAAACACACATTAAGACTGTGTTTACAAAAAGAAAAAAAGCAATTTGAATAACCGTTTGGTCACTGTTTATTTAGGAATTGTTATTGGAGGATGGGGTGGTGGGGCTTTTCAAATAAATTATAATTGGGGTATAGTATAAAATTAGTTTATACGAATATTTATTCTCATTTCTTTTCATTTTAGATGAAAAACCGTGTGCACCAGGCATCGATGGAAAACATATTTGTGAACGAAATTATACAGATCGTTTGCCTCATACTATAAAATGTATCGAAACATTTGGTGAGTATTATATAATTATTTACTGATCTAATTACTAAACTTCTTTTCATCATAATTTACATAATGTTTTAAATAATTCTAGAGGACGATGATCCATTTCCTAAAAGATACTTATGTTTATGCTCTATGCCAGCAAATAAATTCAATGTCATCTATTGGCGAGGCTGTGAAAATGTCAATATTACATTAATTGCAGAAACAAACGCTGCCACATGCAAAAAATATAGAAAAATGAATTGTTTTATTTATTTGATAACAACAATAACAATTATACTGTTATAAATATCTTAAAAAAAACATCTGTCTATACTTTGTGTTGTTAAGAGAAAAGCATGTACGTTTTTTTCCAGTATACATTTAAAAATTTATTCAAAAACAGAGAAAAATATGAAGTGTTTTGATGACTAACCTGAACGTCTGGGTCGTATAAACAAAAAGATTTGTGTATCTGTGATTATATCAACAAGCTATTAATAAAATAGTTTTGTCCACTAGAACTTTTAAGGATAAAACATCGCATACCTAAACTACCGTGGAACTTTTTGTTTGTCTGGTAGCCCTGTCAGCACATTTAACTTTGTAGATACAACTGTTACAGAGTTGTGGATGAACTGATGATTCTTCAATTAGCCTTTAAACATGAAAAGTTTTTTCATGGATATTAGCTTGTAAGCTAATAGTACTCGGTTGGTTTTAGGGAAGATCCGACTCAGAAAACTCCGATATTCCTTTGAAAAACTTTTTCCGTCCGTAGGTGAAAATTTTGACGTTTGATGAAATATTCAGTAGACTTTTATCAAATATATTTTGTGAAGTGGTTTTTCATGCTGATCACAAATATCATACTCATTTTATTCCAACAAATTATATTGGCTGCCAAAAGTTGAAAATAATATGTGAGATTTTGCTGCTAGAAATCATGTTTTGTGCTTTTTCGTCATGTTCCGAAACGACTGGAACAGTGTTTTATATGCCATTTTGTAGATAAATGTTTTGACTACGAGATGAACTGATAGAGGCGGTGGTCCTTTTCGATTTTGATGCCGAAACTTTTCCTTTTAAATAAAAAATTTTCAATTTTCAAAATTTTCAATTTTTTTAATTGTTTAAAACGTCAAGTTTAATTCTAAAAACTCAAAAAACACCGTATTTTGTTCAGCATTTCAAACTCTATCGAATTCGGCAAGAGTTTTGGATTAAAACTGCGCCTGCAATAGCAAATAAAAGAGAAGAAAGTTAACTACAGACGAATTATTTGTGGGCGAAGTAAGTTTCAGCGTCAGTTCAATTTCGGTCTAAGGACAAGTGAATCTCGCTGAGATGAACGTTATCTTATTGTTTAAGCGAAAAATGTTCCGTTCATAAATGTAATATTCTCTAAGAATCAATAGATTTGAAATCTGTTTTTATTTTTGATTCCAATGTTTACTTTGACATATAACAAACAAAATAAATATATACTTTCAAGAAGCACACGCACACACGCTCAAACAAACATGTAAATACACACAAAAAGATATATAGAAAACCAAGAAAATAAAAGAACAGATGAACCAGATAGTTAATTATACATACGCTATGAAAGACACTTGTTTTTCTTAAATTTTATATACAAAACTATTCATTAGATCAATATCCAAGTAGTCAGAGAATTTTTTTTATTGATCGATTTAATTGCGAAATTTCATTTTTATCAACAAGCTATTACATAATTGCTCTTTTGTATATCTGTGATATTAATACACATTGATACCTAGAGTTCACTCTTGTAGTACACATTCAAAGAGAACTTAAGGATAACACCCCCTCCCCCCTCTCTCTTTTTTAACCCTCTTGGAAATCGGGGACGCCGATGTCGGATCCGGGTGAAATTTATAACAGAGATAGAACATCGAAAAAGAAAATCGATATATTTTTGCACAGAATTTTGTGACATGTTCTTCTATGGGTTTTCTAGAAAACTCTGGTTTTCAAGAAAACTCTGGTTTTCATCCAGTCACATTACGACCCCTCGAAATTTCACCCGAATCCGGCATCCGCGTCCCCGGTTTCCAAGAGGGTTAAAAAAGAGGGGGGGAGGTACCCTTAACTGTTTTAACTGGCATACAGTGCAAAAAATATAAAGATTCATGGAAATAGTATTCATTAGAATAAATAGAAATATTCATATTCGTAGTTATTTCTACGAAATTCTCAAAACTCTATTTCGGAAAATGATTCACTTGTGAAAAGACACCTTTAAAGATCTCTTGTTCCGATCGACAAAACAATATGTGTCGATATTGTTCTATGTTCAATAGTTATTCAAAAAACAACGGTGGACATTTGGAAAGCGACAGTAGATATTAGAGTTCATACTATCTATTGACCAAAATTAGAAAGAATATTGATTATTTGCTCAAAACTCATCAGCCGAGAATATTATGATAAAGAACAGTAAAAAATATAATTTTACTGCTCGACAATAATTAACTCTTCATTTTCATCCAACGGTCGTTCACTTAATTCTTGTCTAATTGCGTCCATTAACACTTTTTCATCATTATGTCGTACAGCTAATTGGTCAATATCATCATCATAATTATTGTGAATTCTTATTTGTTGCTGCGATGAATCCACATAACGAGGATTATTCGAATCTAATAGCAATGGTTTATCTAATCGAACAGGTTTTCGATTTGTTGGTATTTGTTGTTGTTGTTGAGGAGGATGTCGTTGGGGTGAACGACGTTGTTCAGCTCGATCTTGAGCAAGTCTTTCAATATCATTATTAATATCATCATTTAAGAATACACGTTTTGTATTTTTATTTGAATTTAAAATACCTTGTACTTTTTGTTTTTCTTGATCATGTCTTAATGCTAAACGTTCAATGAATTGATCATCATCATTTGTTTCTTGTTGTGTAAATCTAAATTGTTTTACTTTTTTTGGTGGTAATGGAATGTCTGTTGGTCGACGTCTCTCGTCCGATACAGTCACGGGCGATGGTGATGAATGTGTTGATATACCAGAGTTAGCAGGTTTAACATGTCGTGTAGCCAAACGAGCATAAGCTAATGCCTAAATTAAAAAAATATAATAGATTATAACCATCGAAAATGAACATAACAACAGCAAGTTCCAAAAACTTGTCAGTAATGGAAAATCGAAGATTACAATTTTTCTCTTCGACAGAAGACTTTCTTTGTATTTACAAAATTAGTACGAAAATTAAATACTAGAATTCCTTTTCAGAAATCGAAGAGTTGTTTAGCATTGAAATTTAGATGTCTATATAGTCTGTGTAGTTAGATATATGATTAGAATTTTTATTGAATATTAATTATAAATATATATTACTCTTTGAGTTTTTGATGCTTCAGTTGGTGATCGTGTATCAGATAATGTTCGTCGTGGAGCATCGGCTAATTTTTTTTTATTACGTTCCTCAATTTGTTGAGCATACTCTTTAGTTTTATTCATTTTATCACTCTAGAAAAAAAGTTAAAATGATTTCAAATACACAAAAGATATAGTATATATGTACTGAAATTTATGGAATTTGATTTTTTACCTTTTCTTTATACGATGAATTATCAAAATCGAAGCCCAGATAACCTGAACCAAAGCCAAAATTTTTCTTGAATTGTTGATAATCTCGTACAGTATACGCTTTAAAACCATTTTTTTTGTGTAAATGTTGCATTTTAGCTAAATAACTATCTATAAATAAATAAAGAATTAGAATTAAGAGTATCATGGAAGAATGGTATTTTAAAATAAGCTTTACCTTCTTCCTTTCCTTTGTCACTATAGTTATAATATCCGTTCGGTGGACTATAACCACCATTGTGTTTTGAGTATGAAAAATCATTGTTTTTCATTGAACGGCTAGCAAAATTGCCACTTGTTCCTGGGATAGTTGAACTTCTATTAAGCGAAGGATTTGTAGCTGGAAGAGACTAAAAATTTGAATTAAACTTCATAATCAAACATTGTTGACATTAAATATAAATGATCAGGAAACAAATATGGCGACACCTTTCGTCATTCAAAACAGCTATTTAATCAGTAGTACGCCATAGTTTTAGGTGCTTTAGATAATTAATTAGTAAATAACAGAGCGGAAGATTAAGTTATCAACTGAAACGTATCAGTAAAGTCTTACAGATTGAGATTGTGACAAACTTTCAAAAAGAGCAGATTAACAGTATATTCTTACCTTGTCAATACTTTCTTCCAACTTTCGAATATGACGATCTAATGGGTCTAAACCAGACCAATCTGGCTTTTGAGAATATTGTTGTTGGTCAGTACTTTGTTTTAAATTTTGTAAATCAACTAATCGTAAATCAATATTAACACTGATATGATCACCATCACGTTTTACACTGCTATCTAATGGTATTGTTACAGAGGCCGGTAATTTACCACTTTGCATCTTATTGTTTGGATTATCATTCGGATTCAAATTGATTGTTATTGGCAAACTAGGACGATGTTGCGAATTATTATACGTTGCTACAGCATTTCTATTTTCACCATTTGTTTGATTTTTATGATGGGGTGGATCAGATGCTAAGCGATTTCTAAACATGAAAAAGAAAATTGATCGTTTTTTATTTCATATTATATAGTCTAGATCAAACATACCTATTTGATAATTGCTCATTATCACCGATGCCCGCCAAATCTTTTCGTTTTGAATACAAATTTTCATATTTTTTGGCTGGATAACGATAAAAAAAATTTTCTTTATTTTTAATCATATCAATATTTTGTTCAATGTAATTGTTTGTTGGTGATGTTTTCGATTGTGCCGATGATTGTTGACTATTGTATGATGGTGCTTGTCGAACACCACTGCCACCAACATTCGAATATCCTTTTCGAAATTCATTTCGTTTATTCGCTGATTCACGTTTTTTGGCATTTTTTTCTTGAACTTTTTGATTTGTTTTTTGTAACTCATCCCATATTGCTTGTCTTTGTTGATCATTTTGTGTGTTATCTTGTGTTCGTGCTGTTACCGGTTCATTTGAATAACGTTGCTGTTGTTGATGTTGTTGGTGTTGCTGCTGTTGATGTTGTTGTTGTTGCTGCTGTTGATGTTGCTGCTGTTGATGTTGCTGTTGTTGCTGCTGTTGATGTTGTTGTTGTGGAGGAGGATGTGTATTGTTCATAAAATCTTGATCATCACCGCCGTTGCTATCAGTAAAAAACATATCATTCGAATTTGGTGGCCGCGGCTGCTGCTGCTGGTGGTGTCTAGAATGAATTTGATTAACTGGTGGATTATTCCGTTCAATCGGTCCTAGTGGCTGCTGTTGATTGAGCGGTATTCGTGGTGGTGGCTGGGTGTATCCCATACTTTGTTTTTCAGTAAACATCTCATGATATTCAGAAAATGGATCAACATTCTCATTTGTGGGTTGTCTATAAGCCATTCTGGGATCATGTTGTTGTTGCTGCTGGGGTAACACATTGATATTTGGAAGCATCCCATTGTGATGTCTTCTTGGTTCATTCGAATTCGTAAAATTTGGTGAAGACATTCTTTCATGTGGATTTTGATCAAATAATGATGGATCTTGTTGTGGTGGCCGGCGAGTCATGTGGTTTTGTCCAATTTGATTTCGAGTGGATCGTTGATCATCAGTGCTAACACCGCCAATATTGCCAAAATTAACTGTTGTTCCAAAATTACTTAAAAATGGATCCGAGTTATAATTTGATGATGTTGAAAATGATGACGGCATAAAGATATCAGTGCCGTTCATGTTTGAAGAAAAATTCTGTTGTGGTTGATAGACGTAATTATTATTGTCCAAATAAGGTATTCGCTGTTGTTGTTGTGGTGGTGGTGGTGGTGGTTCCTGACGAGCTAAATTATCGATATTGACTGGTTTCGAATTTAGATTTGGTGCAGGAAATGGTGTCGATTTTGGATAGTGTTGATGATTTTGATCTAATGAATCGTATAATTCTTGTTCAACTACACCATCTGTAGCGTTTCTTGTCGGATGAACACCTTCAAAAAGAAAAAAAAGAATTCGAGTGAAAAAAAACAACGAGTGTCTAATAGTGATGTAGTAAAAAAATCACAATTTTTTCAGTCGAAGATATGTGATGATAATCATGCTTTTTAAAAAAAGCAGGGCAATTTTTTTCAAAATTAGCTGATGAACTATTATTCTTTGAGCCGACCAGACAAAAAGAACCACAAACAAAACTTTATATAAGTACTGATTTTATATAAGCGTAATCGCAATGAACTTCGTTCGAATATTCATACCGATTTTTGCTTGTCTTAAACGATTTAGAACAACCAACTTTGTTCTCTTGCTCGTTTCTTTTATAGAATAATCGTGTTTATCTTTTAATCTACTAAATAAGATTCAGCGCATTTTTAATTGTAAAAAAAGGCTTTTCAGCACTTGTGTTGTTATTTCATCTGTCGTTATTAATTATCAATTCCTACTGCTAGTGTTGTTGTTATTCCTAATGAAAATTTTTTTTTCATTTCTTGGTTAAGATCTTGCCTCATGAAATCTTCCAAGATTTTGGGCAAAAAAGTGTCACTTTTTATCTTGCATTTCTTGGATGCAAGACCCTGACTTCAGAAATCCAAGAAATGTAAGAAAACACTTCTTGCATTTCTTGATCCAAGATCTTGAGGCAAGAAAGCGAGAAACATTTCTTGTCCCAAGAAGTGTCCCACTTTCTTGTTTTTTTCTTGCTTTCTAGCAACTTCTTGGATCAAAAAGTTCCACTAAGGTACTGCTGCTGTTGTTTTCCAAACTTGTAAAAAATCTTTCCTCTTGACAATTGATAATTTTAAGTAAAAGGTTGGTCATTGTGATACGTTTGGTAAAAAACTTAAGATTTATCGTTACACAAACAATAGAAAAATAAAACATTTTCTGTCACTATGCAATCTTAGTAACAAATGAGGAGACACCAACAGATTATACAAACAAACTAGGAGCAACACACGTAAATAAACAACCAACAATTAACTAGGTTAAAGGCGAAGCCAAGAGAAATAGATGAAAAAGTTTATGAAAAAGCTTATTTTTCCATTCGTCAAGTTTACAGAAGATATCAGACTGGATTCTATCGACTACAACCATTTTATCCTAAAATAAAATATTTTAAACAATATTGCCTAAAGGACATAAGGCCCAAAATGTTTTGATTTTGTTTTTGCGCTGAAAATGTTTCTTAGATATGTCAATCAACACGGTTTCATCAAAACATATTTTAGAAATATTTTTGCTCTAGATTCGTACTATTAAGCCGTGTGAATCTAGAGTTACAAATAGAAAAACAATATAATGATGAGAGCTTAAACGTTGTAAAAATTAGGTTTTTTTCATTATCTAAATCTATTTTTGAACTCATAAGAAGCTTTTTCCTCCTTAAGTCGCGAAGATTCCTGTCCCTTAAGTTGTTTCGTAAGTATTGAACTTTTCCGTACTTTTCCTAGTACCGAACGATTCGATACCTAACAGGGTACCAAACCGAAATTTTCGGTACTGTGCGAGAACGGTACTGGTACTGACAATTCTCTAATAACGAACTCCTTCGGCGTCAAAGGTCGATAGTGTCAGCCTTGCTTCCAACTGTTTGAAAACATTATAAAATTTTTTAAATTAGAAAACGAATTATGTTTTAAACAACAGCTATTCTGTCTCAGTAGTCAAGAAAACCTCATAGAAGTATATCCTTAAAACATACCTAAATAGATCTTTTGCGATATATGGCCAACTGGTCAGAGAAACATTAGGAAAGACGCTTGTTTGTATCTTAAAAATATCACATCTTGTTTGATTTTATTTATTTTATTTTTAAGAAGAATAAAATCAATTAAATAGAGCACAGTAAGAAAAACATAAATTTTCAATGCAGAAAAACAAATATCTCTCTATACATTTGATGTCCTTTTATGTGCCCCTGACTACTATTATCCCTAAAAGGTAAACAATTATCGATTCCATTTGTATTATGTTTACTAAAAACTCACTTCAAACTGTCACTAAACAATGCTTTTTTATTTTTCAACCTTCCTTAAATATACAACAAAGTGTAGATACTACACGGGAAAGGAGAGAGAATTTCTATAATCTTCGTCAATAGAAAAACAAGACTACAATTTCGAAGGTCGATTAATGTCGTCTGTTTTTGTTTCTGAACATTTTCTTTGTTGTTTGTATCTTAATAGTTATACTTTTGAACCATAAAGGAGAGAAAAGAAGGGTGAATTACTAACAATCAATCAAATTCATTCATCATTTACTTTTAACTGAAAATTATAGGAACATAGGGTTTTAGCGTTTAAACCTTCGATAATAAACCAAGAGCGTTGATTTTAATAACCAATGTTTTTAGTTGAAGCGTGTTGTTTCCGTTTGTTTTAACATTAAAAAAATTATATTTTTAACATTTCATAATAAAAGTCATTGTTCACTCTCAAATTTAATTAGAAAAATATTGGAAAGTGTTATACACGTTACCTTTAAATAATATTTTAGTATGTTAGAAGTGCCGTTTTTTATTTCAGAAATCGAATCTGATTTGATCCGATCGCTTGTCGTCTATTAAACTCTCTCTCACTCTAATCATCAGAAAAACTATCGATAAATGTACTCAAAATTTTTATAACAAAAAAAAATAATAGTACAGTAATTCGAAGTATTTCGAGTAAATTAACATAATTGAAATAAGACGTTATTCTTAAAATGTATATATTGTGAGTCACCATCACTTTTATATAGACACAAAATGTATGGCGGATTGATTGATACTTAATAAATGAAATATTTTTTTAACAATATCCCATTTAATTTCTTTAGAAAAATAATTAACGAATGTGATGTATATTTTTAAGAACGAATGAAGTTTCTTTTTCGAACATATCAAGTAAACGTCTGCGACTGTGCCCATTACTCATGCTCATACTCACAAGTATCCATGAGCATAGGCAAAAAACTTTTTCTAATAGTTACGGGCATAGATTAAAAACAGGCGCGAGCGCAGATGTCTAATAATAAACCATGCAAAAACCGCAAAAAGAATTCGCTTGCGTAAATACCGAAATTTTAACGAAAATTGATCTGTTTTTGATCGATCTTTCAAAATATTGCTTTTTTTTAGCCACGTATTTTTTTCTCATATAAGGCTCACACTTTTCCTAATTTCAAACATTGAAGGATATTAGTGGTTATCTATAGAAATTAATACAAACCACGTGTTTGAGTTGTCGAAAAAGTTGATTGAAATCCATTATTAAGTGAATTTTCATAAACTTGTGGATTTTTGTAAATTGATTGTTGTTGTGAGGAGAGTGCATCAAGTTCAGCTAGTAACGGTCCAAGTAAAGGATCTTGTCGAGGATTAGGTCTAAAAATTAGAAATAGCTATAGACGTGTAAAAATTAATGATGTGGAAAACTTACCTTCTCGAAGTTGGAGATCGTGTTAAAGTACTTGGAAATTGTGTAAGTAGATCGGGCTGTTTAGGTACTTGAGTTTTCGTTCGATATTGCATTGGAATTTGAACATTATTGTTTGCACCCATTAGATCTAATTCAAAATCCAGTGAATCAATTAGATTTTCTCCCGTTTCAGTGGCAGGAGGCACTTCACTTAATCTACTTGGTACATATCTAAAATAGGTGACAACAAACCCTTTTGTATGTCGAAAGTAATTAATGCACAGATCACAAAGATTGACTTATCTAAAATTCGTACCTATACATATCTTCTTCTTCTTTTGCTAACGAAGGTGATTCAAGGTAAACCCGTCGTCCATTTTGTGCATATGATCCATCATCTTTGTTTACCGTTAAATAATTATTGTTGCTATTATTATTACTCTTTTGCCCACGTTTTTCATATCGAAATTCATCGCTAAATTCATCGAATGTGCTATTCGAAAAGTATTTATTAGCGAGATCTTTGTTATCAATAATCATATGGTCCATTGTACCCATAGTTGTGCTATTTATTATTTTTTATAACTTAATATGCGTTAACTGATTGTAACTTCACTTTACTTAATAGAAACTATGCCATAAAATGAATAGTTTCATTTTAATATTGGTAAGAATTGAATTTCGTATTAGAAAGATGCATCTGAAACAGAAACCAGATGTAGAATATGTATCATTTATTTTCTCCGCTAAAAAATGCTGAGACTCACATTCATTTCATTTCCAGCTAATAATTTTTTTCTAGTGACATCTTCCGAACATAAAATGAATGAACCTAATAAGTATATTATAAAAATTTGAGGAATTTTTTTTAAGTAGGTGTAATATTACATAAATTACTGATGTATCTCAACACACTCGTCACTTTTCTAACACGATAACAGTTTTTTCTCTAATGGAAAACTTCTCATGTGAAGTGCCTTGATGTTCGAAACAACAACAAACAAAATTGATGAGGTTTACTTGATTCAGAGCTTTAGAGTAATCATATTTTCAGATTATTGATTGTTCATAAAGTAGAAGCACATTTTCGTCGATGACAAGAAAGACGCCATAATAATTATTATTTCTATGACAACGCCTTTCATTAGTCAGAGAAAAAACTGCTCAGCTACGCACATTTTATATAATTTGCCATAACATAGTAGTAAATCTTAGAAGAGGACGAAATTCGTGTTCCAATTAGTTCATTGTGTCCTCTCGTTTTTCGATGCGTAAGAAAAATATAAGAAAAGAATAATATTACAGTTTATACGCTGTCAAGAAATGTATTATATTGAACCAGCAAAAACATTGCATTTTCTGTTGCATACAACACTTTTTGGACTTCCATTATATTAAGATAAACATTCATTGTAACATAACGCCTATGCCGTTATACTTTCATTTCTTGAAATAGAATTATAATAGATCAAAAAAGAGAATTTTTTTATGTAGTTTTATTTTTAATGGTTAGTATATCTAATGAGGCTTCAGTTATCAGTTGTACCGGTTCATTCTGTTTTTTTGATTGTATTCAGATTGTATAACGTGTACACATTCTGACAACATCATATTGCAGTTAACATAAAGCAGAGCTGGGCAAGTACGGGATTTCTCAAGTACGAGTCCCAAGGCTTCGAGTACGAGTCGAGTACGAGTACCGAGCCTTCGAGTATGAGACGAGTAAAAGTACAAGCACTAATTTTTTAAATACAGATACCATTGAACCAGGTATGACTGTGAATGTCTAAAATAATTTGTAGGAAAAAAAAGTCCTATAGCTCTTTAGTTATTCTCTTAATTAGTCTCTTATTATTTGATATATATCAGAACAAAATATTGACAAAGCGAAATGTTAAAACATTTTTTTAATTTATTGTATTACCAACCTTCAAGTAAATGGAATCAAAGTAAAACTTTGTTACATTTTAGAAAAGTTAGTAGACACACATTCTTTGCCGTTAATAATACTCGATGTGTTCTCATCAGAAAACTACTTTGCGAGAAAACGCGTTCGATACAAGCCGATGTCGCAGGCACCGTTAGATATTTTAGAGGAAGTTGATATAATCCTGGATAGATGTGTTTTTTAGAAAAAAGTAAATCTTCACGACTTTCTTCGCATAAATAACACACACTTCATCTAGAATTTCAAATATTAGATTATCGAGTACTGCCCACCTCGAGTACAAGTACGAGTACGAGTATCAGTCCCTCGAGTACGAGTACGACCAAAATCGTACTCGAATACGAGTACTTCGAGTATTTTGCCCAGCTCTAACATCCAGATTTCAAAGTCTGTTTTTATGAGGTTTATTTTGTATTGATAATCGCAACTTCAAAAGAAGAAAAAGTATATTGCAACTTTGCAAAAAAATACGATTATTATGGAGAAGAATGTCTGCTGTCAAATGAGGAATTTTCATTTTTTGATGTATTATTAGTGGAATACTTCCGCACAGGTCTAACTACTTCATATACGGCTGAGAATCAAAAGGATTTGATTATATGCATTATAGTAGTACTAGAAATATGTAAAGACCCCTAGCCGCTCCCTAAAATACTAAATCTGAATATGCTTTTCCAGGCCGTTAAATAGTGAATTTTAGCGGTTTTAAGTTAGCTTAGTAAAATATTCCGACAATTTTAAAGCGCCGTCTTCCTGATAGTTAGACAGCGTTGCGAAAGTTGTATGTTTTCCGATTTAAAATTCAGGTTTTATCTTCCACATTTTTTTCTGGAAAGATGCCCGTACTGAAAATCACTTTCAAAAAACTATCAATATGACGACCTGTTCCCTTACTCACTACTTTACAAAGCTAAACAACCTGATTGAGTATGTTTTCTGTCGATATTTAACGTCAATTATCGTTAATTCAATCAATCTGTCATTTATGTTATTTTTAATGAATCTTCCATTATTATTAGTTTCTCAGAAAAATTGACTAGCGTTCTTATTTTATCTAAAAAACCTTTTTCTTTTCAGTATTTGTTCTACATTACATAAATACATTAATAAAAACATGGAAAGATCTTTTTGTCATTCTGTTTCTCTATGACTAGATCTCGCTTCAGTTTAAATTAGAAAAGATAATTTATCATAAACAGCAAACTAGCAGAAATACCCAGCGTTGCCCGAGTTGATACTTATAGACTATAGTCTTACGATTATAGTCTTTTCAGAAGACTTTGAAGTTGAAGAAGATGGCAAAAGACTCTTTTGTCATCTTCTTCAACTATACGTAGTGCGCATAGTAAAAGAAACATATTTTAAGTAGAACCAGAGCGAAATTCATTGTTTTTCTTGATTCTCTACTCTTTAGTTCGGTCTCTTTAGTTTTAAAATGTCTAGTCGACATACACAAAAAACTTTTGGTAAAAATTATCCATCATAAAAAATCCAGTTTTCGTACT